TAGTGACCTAATTCTTCCCGATACCAACTAGGAGGGAGAAAAAGAAAGCTAGGAGCATACTGGTTTGTGTCTGTTCATATTTATGGTAAATCTTCCATGACACAGCAGCTCTGCTCTATTACTTCTGAAAGTCAGGCCCCTTGTACACAGTGGTGGTTTAGTCCTAATAAGTCATGTCAAGTCATGTCCTACTCTTGTGACCCCTTGGACTATAGCCCGCCAGGCTCCTCTGTCCATGGGATTCTCCAGGCAAGAGTACTGAAATGGGTTGCCATTTCTTTCTCCTGGGGATCTTCCCAACTGAGGGATTGAACCCAGGTCTCCTGCATTGCAGGCAGATTCTTTACTGACTGAGCCACCAAGGAAGCCCCTCTTGTATTGTGGATATATATAAACTTGTTAGTACATAAATGTTTAGAACTGACATAGTGGAAAGGTACATACAAATTGTTATCTCTTGCACTGAAACAATGTTTTCCCCCTATGTCTCAGTATATATATATATATAATCCTCCTTTTATATAATGAAACTGTTCAACTAATTTTAAATATATAACATGCTTACTGTGTGTGCCTGCATGTTTGTGTGTTTGTATATGTGTGTGTGTGTATGTGTACTGAGGGCATGGATCAGCATAGAGAGTGTGGCAAGATGATGAAATATAAATATATGCTCTATTCTCTCTGTTCCATCCAAAGAGAGTAGCCAAAACCATCTTCAAGAAAGAAATGAGCAGGCATTGAAAGAAGTGCCTAAATATACTGTTCATTGAATTCAGAAAATATATTACATGACAGCAAAATTGGCAATATTTTGTTTTCTATTTATACCATTTTTTATTAATTTATGTATTATTTTACTTTATAATATTATATGTTTTCTCATAAAGCAGAACTATACATATGAGGAAAACAAGACTCAGAGAACTTGAACTTTAGGTGTACCTTTCTGAAATGTCGATATAGTGATTTCTCCTAAGGCTCCATGGTACAGAGCTGTGTAAAGAAGCCTTGTTACTGACTCACAATTTTAGTGTGAATTTGCATTATATCATGCTCATGATACTGTCAAGATGGTAAATTATGGTGAATTCTTGGGAAAATATGTTGCTTCATGTTGTATCATATTGTATGAGATTGTATCTCATGTTATTGTTATCATGAGAGGGTGTATCTGGTGTTTTTGGCATAGGCATATACACTGCATGGGCTTTCCCTTGTGGCTCAGGAGTAAAGAATCCTCCTGTCATGCAGAAGACAAGAGTTCGATCCCTGGGTTGGGAAGATGCCCTGGAGAAGGAAATGGCAACCCATTCCAGTGTTCTTGCCTGGGAAATCCCATGGACAGAGGAGTCTGGCAGGCTACAGTCCATGGGGTTGCAAAGGGTTGGACAGGACTTAGTGACTTAGCATACAAGCACATACATTGTGGCAATGAAGACATATGTGTCAATGAAGACATTATCATATCATAAACCTTTGAGAAGTTCACAGACAAAATCAATTACACAGTTTTACTTCATATAAGTCTAATACAAAGTTGTCTACTACTTTTGGAAAAATTACAGAAAGTGAAGTTAGAAGATGGAAAAAAGTTAATCACTAAATCCAGCATCAGATCAAACCCTCATATAACTCACTGATAGATGGTTTAAATCTTTCAATTGATCTAGTATTAAATATTTTACCCCACAAATTCCTTTTTCCTCTAATGCAAACATCAAGGAAGTTTTATGACAAAAGTATTGGTGGTCATGATTTCAAAAGTGTACTTTCCTTAAATGATTTTTTGAAAGAACTTGTGTGAATGTGCAAGATTTTTATAATGTGAATTATATTTGTGGTATAGTAAATACTAAACATTTTTTAGGATTATAAAATAGCTATAAATTACAAGAAGAAAACATTTACCTTGAGTTAATCTTACCTAGCGATGGCTTTGTGTTTATGTGGTGATAAATATTGTTTGCTTATCTTTATAGAATAGATGTGATCAATCACATTCTAGTAAAAATTTGGGGAATAGAAGGTTAATAGAAGACTTATTTTGAAAAAGAGATAGGGCCTATTTTAAAATGGAACTGGAAAAAAATCAGTTGGATTTACTACAAAGATACTTTAAGCTTCAAATGACACAAAATGATAAGGTTATATTTAATCACATTTTCCCCTTAAACTGTAGCTTTACAAAATAACCAGAAACTACTTTGCCGTCTCCCTATACTTTACAGGTATTATACAAAGGTGTATATGTGTATATATGCCTCACTGATAAACCTTTTACCTCATCATATTCATCTTTATTGTTGTTGTATGTGTTTCTCTCTGTCCAATGTACCACACAGACAGATGATACTGTTTCACTGCTTTTTCTGTCTTTTTGAAGCCTTCCTCAGCTTTTTTTTTCATTCAGAATGTCCACTTCTCTTAAATTTAGTATATACTTAATTATCTGTTCTACTGACCAAATGTATTTATTATACATATTTGGTGTACTAGTAATGATTAACAGGGTTATAAAGAAAACACACATTCTTGCGTTGCTCTCTGCTGTTCCTTCCTTTAGAGTCAATCAGTAGAGCTTGCTTCCTAAAGGTTTCTGGATTCACTCTAACTCAGTACTGCTTTCTCTGACTACCTAGAGACTACTTAGTGCTACTCCATTTAGCAATTATCCAACATCTCCCAAATATGTATGTTCCATGAGATCAGAAAATTCAACTTTAAACTAATTTGGTGCCTCCTACAGGCCTAGGCTTCTGCTCAATTCCAGGTAGCAGTGAAATAAATATGTGTCAAATGACATATCTCACAGCTATGTTTATCTTTTGGTACCACCGAGTAGCTTAAACTGAATCAATTAGCTTTCTCTTCTCATTATCTTCAAAAGCATCTAGATAAAATTTAGTCATCCAACCTGAAGTCACAGCAAGAAAGAAAACAGGTAACATGGAAAATATCTTTCAGATCTCTAAATGAAAAATCAACACACACACATACACACTCTCATATAAGTTTTATCTCTAAATAGCTTCCCTCTATTTTTATTAATATATTTATTTATAATCCTGATACCTAACATATGCCCAAATATGAAGCTCAGACATTTAAAAGAATGGTGACTCTCCTGATCCAACTTTAATAGGTTCAGGGAGAATACTTATAAAATAAATGAAGTAAGTGGGAGTTGAATTTGGGGGCGGGCTATTTGTAAAAAAACAGTAAACACACTCATGGGTGTGATTATTCCACAGCTTTTAAGATATGAGGGCTCCTTAGGGTAGGGAGTGCCTAAGACAGTGCTCACAACGTTTCAGAGAATATAAGATATCAAACTATATTTGTTTATTAGCACATGAATTATGGTAAACAACACTTAGAAATGTCAATGTACAGAGACTGATGATCTATTCAGATTTGTGGGAATGAGAATTCACAATGTCTATCATGTTTACACCCCTTATTAAAATAACTAGTTAGTTTAATTCAAACATTCAGAGTAATTATTATTATTATTACATACATTATTATTATGAAAAAAATCTCTTTATACTTTTGATTTGTTGATAGATTTGTTTGAAAGCTTTTACCTATTGTCTGCTACAAAGTTCTGATATTAAGAAACTTTCAATGAGGCCACTAGATACAGTAATTAAACCAGACACAGCTATCTGATAAATATTCTCAGAATTATGAGTTCCTATCCTAAATATTTCTGAGTTTATTTTTCATTTGTATTATTATAATTTTCTCTTTTTATATTAGTTGCATGCCACTTACTTAAAAAAAGTTGAGATTTTTAAAACATATTTCATTCCTATGTTTATTAAAGTTCTGTAATAGCTACTTATTAAATACCTCAGCAAGTAAATATAAATGGAATTTGATTAGTTAAAATTCAGTAACTTTACTTCTTGCCAATATACTAAAGAGCACCTGGTGCAATTCTGCTGTCAAATACCACAAAGAACGGATGATACTCTAAAACCTTTTGAAGTAGTAAAGGGAATACTTTTTAGACTGCACCTCCCAGTAGATTTTTTTGGATCTACTGCCAAGATTTTCACAAAGTGAGACAGGCTCAAGAAAAGAGTAATTTCTATATATTAAGGGTGTCAGGCATTGTGCTAGAAATTCTCACACAGTGTGTCTCTTTTAATCATCACAATAACATGCAAAATAACATTATTACTATTTTACTTCTCTTAAAGCCTTGCATATAGGATCCATATTTTATTAGCTTTATATTTCCGTTATGTGTATTTGATTATACAGGCATACACACACACACACACACCCACACACACACACACACAATAGAAGGATGAGGAAACTAACAAAACATTTGACTGATTTGCCCAATCCACAATTATTAAATGTAAATCAAGTCTTTCTAACCTTGAAACCCACAGCAAACCCCTTATATTTCACTCTTAAATGGTAGCTTTCAAGGTAAGAATATTTTACTCTGTGTTCATGTAAAAATTATCTAAAATTGTGCTATTGATCACAAGTTAGTTGCATTTGCAAAATAAATAAATATTAGGAGTATGGATTGATGTCTACATATAAAGAGAAGAAACTTATCATTGGGGCCAAATAGCCTCTTCATTTTTCCTGTACTTTGTAAAGATCAAGAAGCACCAATAAAAAGATTGTTTTCAGAACAATAGAGATTTCTCCTATCTTCTTCTAGCGTATGATATATACCAGCTACTTGACGAAGATTGCTGAAAAAAATCCTCTGGTGACTTATGTTGTTAAAGAAATTAATATTATGAAGAAGAATCAAAGATATGTTTTATTAAATTAAATAATTTCTCTTTACCACATATTCTGTTGCTTCTTACTTAATTAAAAGTCAATATAATATTCCCAGCTTTGCACAGTTAAAACAGACTATGAGGAAAACGATATGGACATTTAAATCACACACATACACAGTTCATTTTGAAAAATCAGCAACATGTTTCAATAGAGGAGCGACAGAATATCCTTACCTTAGAAAATTGTGCATTTATCCATTTTGTGAATGTTTTCTTTTGAACATCTTCTCTTTCATCTACAACATAAAAAGAAAAAAGAAAAAGAGATATCATTAAGAAGCAACTTTGGATATCACTCATATTTTATAACCGAAATAACTTTCTGTTAATGTACATTAGTGTTATTTTATATTTAGCAGTAAATTCACTGATAATGAAATCGAACATGAGTGATGTTGCTACTGAGCATCCAAACTAAAATGAAATCTGAAAAATAATTGATACAGTCAAGTCCATATTCATTCAAATACTACAGAAAAGCATTTAAAAAGAGACAATTTATTAATAGTGGTGCTTCCCTGGTGACTCAGGGGTTAAGAATCTAATTGCCAACGCAGGAGATGTGGGTTCGACCCCTGAGTCTGGAAGATCCCTTGCAGAAGGAAATGGCCACCCACTCCAGTATCCTTGCCTGGGAAATCCCATGGACAGAGGAGCCTGGCGGTGACAATCCCTGGGGTCACAAAAGAGGTGGACACGACTTAGTGACTAAACACCAACAAAACAACTATGATGAGTAGATGCTCCAGTAGAATCAAAAGAAATAATTGTCTGTTATTTCGTCCCAGAAACTATTCCTGAGCTTTTTCCTCTTGCCCCATTCCCAGTCCATCAGGAAATTATTTTTCCCTCCTTTGTAATACCTGCATACTCTAACACAGGCCCCTAACATAGCTTTTTCCCATTATAGGAGGGGTTTCCTGATGATCAGGAGAACGGCTTGCTTATCTCTGTACCCCAGAACCTAGCATATTGTCTGCACAAATTAAGAGCTCAGAAAATATTTGATCAATATGTGAATGCATTAGAGGAAGGGGGATCGTAAAACTACAAAATTTCTAGCACTTCTCTTCATCTAAAAGTCAGGAAATTTCAAATCAAAATGCAAATGATACTCTTCATGGATTATGTATACAAATATACTCAAAGGAAAAATCCCCAAGGACTTCTTACACCAAGAGATTAGGGTGGAAAATTATTAAGAAAGAGCTTCACAGAATTCAAGCTTCTAAAAATTATCTCTTTTTCCAAAGCCGGAAGTTAGTATTGAGTCCAATGGACAGGAAAATCATCAATTGTGATTTATTAAAATGCTGTTTTGATGCTGAAGCTTATCTTGAAATTACTGTATATGCAATCATATTAGTCAATGTTGAATAAATCAGTGTATGTGAGAGAGACTTAAAATTGAGACATTTCATATTTATTTACATGGGTCAAAAGAACCCTTATTGAAATGCCCTCAGGAAATAACCTCATTTGCTCTCATATTATTTTTCAGTAGTCAGTCTCCACTGCTTCTGAAAACAGATGATACACAGTAAACAATCACTTTCCTATGACACACATATCTATGCATTAAGAATGTCTGTTTATCTTTAAAGAGTATTATTAATCCATAAGTAGATATTCTTAAGCAATATAAAAGAGAATAGTGGAAAAATAATAAACCTAAAATCATTTTCCTAAATGAGAAAATGTTATTTAGCATCACAAAATACTCCCTCCTTATTTGTGTTACTCCCACAAGCTACTGTGTATGGTCAAATATGAACATTATTCACACAGTAGAGGATACATGATAGCTATAACATAGAAATCTTTTCTTTGTTGACAAGTGTGAATAAATAAAAATAGATACTAATAGCTTTTAAACCTAATCTAGCCTCTTTTGAATATTACTGCCATAAATCTAATACTACTCTTTATAATAATAATAATAATAATAAACAGAATTTCAGATGGTCAAGATTTAACCCTTTTCACTGACTTGCTATAAAGAAAGACAGGTATGAAAAAAAAAAAGAAAGAAAGACAGGTATGTACAAGTCTGTACAGGCATACACATATATTCACAAAAGTTAATAACCTTATTTGCAATTCTACTTATTTTTCCTACATGTTCATATATACCCTATCTGTCAGACATGGAAGAATGAATGAGTCATTTGAAAGCATTCTTCCAGAGGTTTTTAAAACATACCCAAACATCTTCACCAAAAGCTGAATATGAGGGTGTTTTGAAAAGATTTGTTCCAGATGCTTTTAAATGAAAAGTGGGTAGTGAAGCAATATTTTTATTGTTTTTGATTATATGTACCAAGAACAATTTTTAGATAGGCCTTGAAGGCAGAAGGGAAACCTTGACATTATGTGCAAAATATGCATTTGCTGTGCAAAAAGCACTAAATGTGAGCTTCATCATATAAACATCTTCACTAAATGTACTCTTGTACCTCTTTCGCTTTTAATGCAAGAAAAACATGCCTTCCATGAATTACCTGCTGATGTTTTCTTTTGGTATAGTAATATATTTTATTTAAAATGAAAAATATTAATAATACTAATTTTATCATTATTATAAGATATAACATTACTATCTTATTGTTTACAAGGTTGTTTTACATACACTATTTCAATCAGCCCATATGTAATTTACCATTTTATACTTTAAAACTACAAGCTCAGAAAGAATAAAACTGATAAGTGACAGAGATGAGCTGCTATAGATTATTTGAATCAAAGTCCATGGCTTTTCACAGTGACCATGTCACATTATGACTGTATATATAATATGGAATGCTACAAGGTGATCAGAATCATAAAAGGTGACCATATTAACACAAATAAAAAATAGTCACAAATTTAGAGCCTTATTTTGAACAACCCAGCATGTTCCATGTATGTTGTAACCTATGTGAATGATATCCTGGAATTTTAGAGTGAACAACCTGCATGTCTACATGTGTTTACCTAGAAGTGAAAACTGAACCATTTAATGATACCATATGATTTGTTAATATTTTATATAATAATGGTCTTATATTTGCTAATTAATATTTGTTGTTTCAATTTTTGTCATATATTAGTGTAACAAAAATATTTTAACATACAAGGATCACCAAAAGTTATGTATCTGCACATTACAGTCCTCCCAAAACATGAATTTTACTTAGCCACAATAATATTTTGCGTTTTTTTTAACTTATTTTGCCATAAACATCATATGGGGTACTTTTTCCTTTTGTTTGTTATTAGAGATTCCATCATAATGAACATTTTCATGAATTATTTTCCAACTTCTGCTGTATAACAGTCTTAGAAGAAATTACTGAGTCAACATCATTGAAAATTTTATGGTTTTTACTAAATAATGTCATATTGCTTTCCTAATGGTCATACCAATTTTTAGTGGTATCGGAGTGAGTTTATGCTGTTGATAGCAGATTTTTTGCTTGTATTTTTGGACAAATGTGGTTTTATTAGATATAAAGAGATAGTTGATGCTTGCTATAATTTGAATCTGCTTGATTACTAATGAAGTAAAACACAATTTATACATTTATTTATTCTATATGTTTCTACTTTTTCCAAAATACTTGTTTATATTCTCTGCTCATGTATCTATCAAGCACTTGATAAATTAAAATTAATTAGAATGAGGTCATATATTAGTAGCTTTTAAACATTTCAAGTCATGGATTCCATTTGATCATCTGATAAAAAAATAATAATCCTTTTCTATAGAAAAAAATGCCTATACATACATATTTACATACAGGTTCATGAGGTTAACTGACCTCCCCGCCAAAGATTCCTAATACCATGAAATCCAAGGTAAAAATCACTATTGTAAATTAAGCTACTTATGCTTAGTCAATGAGCGAATATATGTTCTCAAGTGGTCTTTTTTTTTCAATTTTTGTTTCATTCTTATTATGCTAAAATTTTATACTTGTATATAGTTAAATCTGGGCTTCCTTGATAGCTCAGCTGGTAAAAAAATCTGCCTGCAATTCAGGAGACCCCGGTTCAACACCTATGTCGGGAAGATACCCTGGAGAAGGGATAGGCTACCCACTCCAGTATTCTTGGCCTTCCCTGGTGGCTCAGATGGTAAAGAATCCACCTGCAATGCAGGAGACCTGGGTTTGATCCCTGGCTTGGGAAGATCCCCTGAAGGAGGGCATGGTGACCCACTCCAGTATTCTTACCTGGAGAATCCCATGGACAGAGGAGCCTAGTGGGCTATAGTCCATAGGGTATCAAAGAGTTGGAAATGACTGTGTGATTGAGCACAGCACAGCATAGTTAAATCTATTTCTACTATAATTTCTCATATTATTTAAAATTTGACCATTTTAAGCATGATTACCTATACATTCATAGTTAAAGTCGACACATATAAACCTATATACATAAATTGTTACAGAGCTTATAGAGACTATTTTGATACGAGTATGTTGTAGATACACAATCTATAGTGGGAGATATTAACATGAAATCATCAAGAAAGACAAGAAAAGAATCAAGTGAAAACTCTTTTATCAGGAAGTGACTATATACTCCTGTTTAATCATTTCAAGAAACATATATTTTATTTCATTTCCTCTAGGGTTTGTTTATGAGTGATTTTCTTCTACTAATACAAATATGCCTGAGTATAACAATATGAGAAGAAAGGAAGAAAAATCCCTCTTAGAAAAATTTACATAACAACTGTTCTGTGGAGATATCAAAGAATGAAGAACTACTAGTTCCTATATTATAAAAAGTGACCAACATTTTATTTTATTCTCTCTGTGGGGAAAACCCATATAAAATTAGCTTTATGCCATACACAAAAACTGTATTTCACCTCAGAATCAATTAACCCTTTCTAATAAAATCTTTTTATTCAATAGATCTGTTCTTTCATATTTTTTAAGATTAGCATAAAGACCTTTCACCCTGTTATTAACTTTGATATCCCTGAGACCCTCAATCCCCTATAAAAGTGGGATAATTAAATTGTGACCTTAGTGATTCACAGGAGTGAGTTAGTGCACAAAAATGATACTGGGCAAACTGAGAGAACGTAAACTTAAGGCACTAGGTCTCAATTTCCATTGTAAAACTTATTAGTCTGGTGGCCTTTACCTGTGAATTGAGGACGTTCATTGCTTTTTCACTCATGGAACTGCTGTTAAGATGTCATGAATTCATTTATTTATGCAATAATGTATAGAAAATATTA